TTGAAAATGTATACTTTGATTGCAACAACTGTAACATTTATAATATAATATACTGATTTTGTGTTGCTATTTTTAAAGAATATGTTTAATATTATTTTTTTACATGATCAGGCGTCTTAACTATGGAAATATGACTCATATAAATGTGACAGTTTCAGTCCAAGAAAATAATAAAGCCATTATCTCTGTAGCAATAGACCGCAGCGATAAAAATTATTATGCTTGTGATGGAGGATGTTTAGATGAACCTGTTTTGTTAGGGTAATTTTTGTTATATGAAAAATTATTTCAAATGTTATCTAAACAATATTTTTTATAGGCCAGAATATAAAACATTTCCAGTTAAGTTAACTGATCCTGTAACTGGAATATTATATATAACCTATGATAAAAAACACATGGAAGACTTAAAACATGCAATTCATGTTAAAGAAGTTTCAGAGGGTATCAATTTTGTCTCTTATTTTACCATTAAATTATTATTATTAATAACAACAAATTTTATATAATTATAATATTTTAGCTCCTGCACATGAACATCATGTACTAGCACTTCATAAACATGGTCACCGTCTTGGAGGATTGCCAACATTTTTCTGGGTTGCAATTGGTTGTTTGATTGTTGTATTTCACCTTTTCCTATTTAAACTAATTTATAATGAGTACTTTAACTGGCAAGATAAATCAAGGATAAAATATGGTAAACTAGCATATAAATAAACTTCATGATAATTATGTCTTTTAAAAATCAAATAACTAATAAAGTAACAACTTTATTTCCCAGTTATTATATGTTATTTTAAAAGTAATTTACAAACCATTATAATTTTTATGATTTATTATCATTGTTAATTCGATTTAAAACTCATWAGATCTCATGTTTAAACAACTAATAATGTAATAAAATTATTTTGATTGATAAACAATCACAAACAAATATGAATAATAATTAATTTTATTATTATTGATTATATATATATGATGATTACATTATGTATCTCAATGGTATCATTATTTCACTTTGTTTTAATTTTATTATTATTAAAATTATATCATACCGAAACTAAGTATTTATAAATATAAAAATGCAATTATAAATACAACTAAAGACTAACTTACAAAAATATAAAGTCATTTGAATATTGTACATTTAATTCAACCATGTAAATTAATATTATCTCAATGTGAAATGTTAGTAGATAATAAATAGAAATATTTGATAATTGAACTAATTTATAGGGTTGGAAAAAATGGTTAAATTAATGAATCAAATTATTAATAACAAAATTTATTTAAAATTAAATTTTTTTTAAATGAATACTTGAAATAAAAAAAACATATTAATATATATTTAAAATTATTATATTTATTATATTGGTATTAAAATATAGCCTATATAAAAATGATATAGCCCTCATTTCAAACATCTGTGGTGCTGTGCATACATTTAATTTGAAAATGCAAATGCTTATAATTCTAGCCTTTAGTCGTATGTAATTAGAGTCTTTTCAAAAGAGATGCTTGTTTGGAGTTAGGATTAAATCAGGAGGTAAAAGTTGACACTTTGTGCTTC